CATTACCAAGGCCAGTGACACTGCTTGCTCTAAATGTGTGTGATCCTTTCTTTAGTCCCAAGAAGGATATTTCTCCTTAAATACTTAAACTGCACTCTTGCGTCTACGTGGTCATGTTATAGTAGCCTGTCTGGGGTCCGGGGTGTGTCTCCTAACACTTGAAAATTCAAATGGTATCGGTGGAACTTCCCCGGTGGTCCAGCGGTGAAGACCCCGTGCTCCCAATGCAGGGGGCCCAGGTTCGATCCCTAATAGGGAAACTAGATCCCACATGCCACAATTAAAGATCTTGCCTGCCATACGTCTTCAATCCTGCGTGCCACAGCTAAAGCCCAGCACAGCCTAAATAAATAAATATTTTTTTAAAACAAATGATGTGTTATGTCAACATAAGAATGCCCATTACTGATCTTCATCTACAGGGAAGATCACTGAACAAGGGCCCCACTTGCCGAGCTCAGGAATCCAGCATCCTGTGTCAGCCAAGGCTTTTCCGTCCACAGGCCGCCGGCCCTGACCAGTGGCTGAATGGGAGGGACACTCAGGCAAAGCCCTTCCTTTGAGACAGGAGGTCCTCCAATGGCCAGCTGTTGCTTGAGCGTTCCCCAATTCCCCTGAACTTCCCTTGGACTGCAGGGCATTCTAGGATTTCTGCTGTCCAATCAGGGTCAGGCTGGCTTGATGGGCAGGCTAAAGTTTCTTCCAGCTCCTCCCAACCCCTCCCTATTATCCCTTACATTGTACACCCCCATGAGGATCTTCCCAACCTTGGGACTGAACCCACACCTTTTGCGTCTCTTGCATTGGCAGACAGATTCTTTACCACTGAGCCACCAGAAATATTAACCTGAGCCAAAGCTACTCCTGTTAGAACAAAGATCCCAGCATCTCTGAGACCAATAAAGTTTATGTCCCCTCTGCCAGCCTGCAAGCCTGTTTCCACTTGGGAATTAATTAGGATCAGCATTTTACCAGTCAATATGTCCAAAAAAAAAAAAAAAAAAGATGAAGGAAAGAAAAAGAAAAAATCCAAAGTATGCTCGTTTTTTTCTTGTGCAGTAAGCCCATCACCATTACAGACGTATGTACACTATAGCTAGTATCTTTGAGGACAGTTGGAAATATTAACAAAAAGCATATTCTTGATGACTTTTTCCACTTCATGTAGCTACATTACAGTCAATAAATGGAACTTATTAAATGTACCTCTTAAATGTGATGTGATATTTATCTATAAAACATTTTCCATAAGCATTCACAGAGCAGAACACTTCTGAAGATTAATATCTCCTGTGCCTGAAAGAAACGACCCTGTAGAAGGTGGTGCTGCCAGCCGATGTGACTAGAAATTGATAAAAACTCGACTTTTGTTCAACCTGCCTCCTTGACATTTTATTCTCTTCTACTCTACAGGACCTTAAAGGCTGGGTGGACATTCCTGTGTTCTCAGCTACAATTCCAGCCTTTCCACCAGAGCAGTTTTATTTCCTGACTACAGCTTAAGAAAGCCAGTGCCACTGGAGAAATAATTGCAAATGCACAGGTTATGTGGCTGGTGGACAATAGGCATTACTGGAAAAGGTACTGAAACCAAGTTCTCTTCCGACTGCTAATTCAGAACTGCTGGCTTTTCTGTGGCGCTCCAGGCCCGTGTTGATGGCACAACCAAAAAGACTAAACAGAATATCAGAATTGCAAATGACCAGGAGTTCGTTTAGAAAGCAGACGCATACAATCGTGGTCTCCTTTTCCTTTCACAAGTCAGAAGCCTCCGGTCTCCTTCAAGAGCGAGTAATGGTGTGGAGTGAGAGCAATGCAGAGAAACGTCTAGATTTCTCTTTTGTTTCAAATCGGGCGCCCTGCCTCTCAGCCCAGACCCTTAGCCGGGTTTCACAGCTGTGTCCCTTGCACGCCGGGCATGTTCCGACATGTACAAGCGTGCCTTGAGCAGCCCGTGGCAGCCAGCGCCACCTAGCTTCTGGCTTCAACATTTCCTCAGCTCAACAGATTTCCAGACCTTTCAATGAGTCTTCCAGAAGGGCTGGATATAAGTTTCCCAGATTTTGAATGATGGAAGTCAAGACGGAAGCTGGAGCAGCCAAATTGCTCTAAATAATTATCAGGTGGAAAAACACGTCTCTAAGTCTGTGGAACGTTAAGTGGGATTTGCACAGCTTCTTGAGGCACTGACTGGTCAGAGCCTGTCTTTCATTTCACAAAACCCTGTGTGCCAAGCAGTTAGAGAATACGCACAGAGATCTGGCTTCTGAATTCCAGAGGCTGGGTCCTGAATTAGGGAATATCTCAACGGAGAGAGTCTTTGCTGGGCTTGCATCCAGGGAACACTTCCTTGGATCTAATGAACAACGGATGAAGGGTCAGAAGGGTTAGGAAAACCAGGGGGAGTGGCACAAGATAATCTACCCTACCTTGAAGTGCAGGCAGCCTTTCTGATGTCAACTCTGCGTGGAGGCTACAGCCCTCACTTTTCTCAGCATGGAGGCTACGGTCCTCACTTCTAGAGACGGTAACAAGGCTTTCATCCAGATGAAAATGATCTCCGGCCTTTGGGAGAGCAGACCGTCTTAACACGAGAAACAGAGGACACGGAATTCAGGAGCGGGCTGGGTCTGCACTGTCGAGACCAGTTGCTTGGCATCCTGAGCTGATATGCCTGAGAGCCCGTGGATGCTTTGAATGTGTCCATGAAATCAACACAGAGAGACGTGGAGCAAGAGGGCAGACAGGCCACCTGAACATTCTGGGAGGCACCTCTTTCTGTTTTCTTTTGGAGGACAGGAGAGTGTGATGACCAACCATGAGCTCAGTGAGGGAATCCTCCGGCCGGTACTGATGATGGTAACGCTGATAGTGATGACGGTGATGATAATGAAAATTATGAAGATGATCACTGACGATAGTGTTGAAGAAGTTGGAAAGTGTTCAGTACTCTCTGTAAGACATGAGTGAAACAGGCTCCCTGCTGCCCCTATGTGGTGGCGGTAGTTGAGTCGCTAAGGGCTGTCCAGCTATTTCGACCCGCCAGGCTCCTCCGTCCATGAGATTTCCCAGACAAGAATACTGATGTGGGTTGCTATTTCCTTCTCCAGCTGCCTCTATAGATGTAGAAGTTTTAAAGGAAACACCTAGAATTACTATAGTTCCCAATGTTGGGCTTCCCTTGTGGCTTCAGCTGGTAAAGAATCCGCCTGCAATGCGGGCAACCTGGGTTCGATCCCTGGGTTGGGAAGATCCCCTGGAGAAGGGAAAGGCTATCCACTCCAGTATTCTGGCCTGGAGAATTCCACGGACTTTATAGTCCATGGGGTTGCAGAGAGTCGGAGACGACTGAGCAACTTTCACTTTCCCAGTGATAGTAGTTGAAGAAAACTGAAAGAGTTCCTATAAGCTTTAAAATTCTCTTGCTTCCAAAGAGAAGTCAGCTTAAACCCACCTGAAGTTTTCATGTTACCTTGGCAGGTAAAATCCTATCATATTATGGGCTGGGGGAGTACCTCTCACTCTTCAAGCTTGGATTAAGAATAGAAACTATTCTAAATTCTATTTTGGATTAAGAATAGAAACTCTAGACACAAAGAAAAGAAAACTGGACTCAAGCAATAAGTTCCAGTTCCAGGCAATCCTTCCTTCCTGACAAAAGAAGCAAGGCTAAAAGTCCAACATAAACCCCATTGAATTTCCATTCATGTTTCTCTGAATTTGGTTTGTAGTCTTTGGAACCCAAAAAATAACCCATGCAAAGATCCCAGATGTTGGTGTATTTTTTGGTTCTCCTCACATGAGGAAGGGCAGTGCGTTTCACACCAGCATTTGCTGACAGTAAAATCTAATGAAGAACACGTATGTGTAATAACGTAGACCACCTTCCAACCACCGTTTAATATAACCCCATTATATTTTCTTAAGATTTCAGTTTGGCACAGCTAGCCATGAGAGCAATTCTGCTCTGATAAGAGTCCTGCCTAGGAGAACCTGCTAATGTTGTTTCCCTGAAGTCACATTTCAAATTAAACACTGTAGAAATTTTAGACTTTGAAGTTTATGAATGATGACCCGAGAAGGATTTGTATTTTGATTTGTCCTTAAATATAATGAATTAGCCAAGAGAGATTTTGGTTTCTTGTCTAAAGTTGAATGATGACCATTCTCCCAAAATTTGTTTTCGCCCAGAACCGGTGAAGGTGACCACATTTGGGAAAAGGGGTCTTAGCAGATGCCATTAAGCTCAGAACTTGAGGTGAGGTCATCCTGGACTAGGGTGGGCCCCAAAGCCAGTCATGCTGTCTCTCTCAGAAGAGAGAAGATGCAGAGAATAAGACCACGTGGACACAGAAACGGAAGTCATGTGGCCAGACACGAAGAGACGCCGGAGCCCCCAGACGCTGGACAAGGCAGGGAAGATTCTCTTCTAGAGACTTCAGAGAGCATGTGACCCTGCCAACACCTGGATTTCAGGTTTCTTGCCTCCAGAACTACGAGAGAAGGGGTTTCTGTTGTCTTTAGCCCCTGGGTTTGTGGTCATTTGTTAAAGCAGCCTTCGGAAACTAATACACAATATACTATCACAATAAAAGAATTGAGTAAGAGGAATAAAGGAAACCCTTGCCCTGGCCTTGTGCAGCCTCACCAGCATGCAAACTGCAGTGAGAAAGTTTAGAGCCTTCAGAGGATTTAGTGTTTAGACATGTCTGACACAAAGAAACCATGGAAAATACTCTTCACTCATTCCCTGGGCACGCCCTGTTCTGTTACGCCTCTGTGTCTTTGGAAATGCCTACAACATCCTTTTCTACCTCAGAAACCCTACTAGCCCTCCAGATATATGAGAAATGTTGTGACCTCTTTCATAAGCGCCCTTCACCACGCCCCCAGCCGGAGACGCACACAGTCACTCCTGCAGCTTTGTTTACCCCGCTCTGTTACAGCACAGATGATAAAACAAGCTCTGACATTCGAGTTCCCAGAGCTCTCATGCCTACCTGACTGTGAGGGAGGCCACCTATTTATTTCCAGCCCCTCTACCCGTGGTCTCCAACGCTCTAGTCTGGATGTCCTTACAGTTTGGGGGCTGGGTTCCAAGTTCTAGGAAACAGGAGCTGCTAAGCTCGACCCTTTGAAGTTCTGGAATATTACTTCTATTTCATTCTATTGGTCAAAGCAAGTCCGAACCCCATTCCCATTCCAGTAGGGAAGCAGAACCCACCTCTTGATCTAAGGCACACAGGCACACCCAGAGGTGGGAGGAGGTGTTGGTGACTATATCTGGAGACTCCAGCTGAGGTCTAGTCCTGTTCTGTCTCTTACTAGGATTATGGCCCTGGATGTACAACCTCGAGGACTTAACATCCTCTTCTACAACACTGAAACAACAGTGGTCCACTCGATCAGATTGCTAAACAGAGTGAAAGGGGCGTTACGGTTAACGCCGTGTGGCTTTTTGCATGTAGCAACCCTGTAACAAATGATAACTACTTTTCCTCTTCTGATAAAGCAAGGTATAATAAGTCGCTGTGTGGATAAAAGGAAAAAATGCAGAGAGAGAGAGATCTTCCTGGAAAAAAGAAAAAGGGAAAAGGATAATAAAGACACCCTTTACCAACTTCAGTCAAGTTTCCAAGGGCTAATCTTATTACCATGAGGCAACAATAGTTGAAATAACCAAAACTCTGCCGAGAAGTATTTCGGGGTGCTGAGAAGCAAAGCACACTCCAAGTACATTCTAGGAAACCTCATAGTTAAGCTTCAGGATATAACTGTAGCTTTGTAGGATTTATGAAAATCTGTAGCTTTTAAAAATAATCTTTACTTCTGAGTATTAAAGCAATATATGCCATGGAGAACATTTTAGGGACTTTAGTAAAGCAGTAGGAAGACAATAACCACTCATAATGCAACCACAAAAGGAAACTGCTAGAAATAACTGAATATACTTTTTTGCAGTTATTTTGTTATTGGAATATGCAGACAGGACTGGTTTTAAAAGTGTAAGACTTGTGTAGACACAGGGTTCCACACTCAGAGGAACCACATTTTGGTTTTCATCCTATATTATCACCATCTTGAAATTATTCATTTTTTTTAATTTGGAAGATAGTTGCTTTACAGCATTGTGTTGGCATCTACCTTACAACACCGTGAATCAGCCACAAGAACACATATGTCCCCTCCCTCCTCAACCTCCCGCCCACTCCCCCCGATCCCAGCCCTCTGGGTCATCACAGAGCATCGAGCTGGGCCCCGTGATCTCTGCAGCAGCTTCCCACTGGCCGTCTGTTTCATACACGGTAGTGTGCATGTGTCAACACTGCTCTCTCAAAGGTCACCCCTTTTCCTTCTGGAGTTTTAGCCACTTTTTATTATATTCTCATATATTATTGCAAGTATGTTCTCACATTTTTAAACATGTTTTGTAAACATTATTTTAATGATGACATATATTTCTTCCATGGGCCTGTCATATTTTAATTAATTATTTCATTCCTTTTATTAAGCTTGCAGGAATTTCACATTTCTGCTTATATAAATTACTTTGCAGCATGTATCTTGGCGCATAAATTTTTCTCTTCATCTTTTATTTATTCCTATAAGACATAGCTCTGGAAATGGAGTTATTAGATCAAAGAGTTTAGATATTTCTAGGTTTTGAAATATACTTTCAGATTTATGTTTTCCTTAGCAGAATTATTCATATGAATAGTCCAAACAGTGATCAGCAGGAGTGAGTTAGGTCTGTCTTATAAAAGACCATGAACAAAGAGAATTCATTTATAGAGGGAAGATGCACAGTGCTTGACAGCATGGGGTTTTAAATTCAGTTTTCATATTATCCCTACCGAGCTACACGGTCTACTAGCTTCATGGTATCATACAACCTCTGTATGTTTCAGTTATAAAAATTGAGGATAGCAATATTCACCCTGCAGAGGTACCGTGAAGATGGACTTACACCACTCAGTGAGCGTGAATTCAATGCCACCTCTGTTATAAGAGTTCTGTTAGGCCCGTGGGGTACACCAGTGAGCAGGGCAGACAAGTCCCTGGAGTTCACAGTCAGACAGAGAAGTCAGCCACGAAGCAGGAAGTATAACAAAAGTGTCATGAGAACCAAGAAAAGGAGAAATGAAGTCTCTGTTTCAAAGTATATGACTGCGTCCAGAGAAGGCTTCTCTCTGGATTGGAGTAGCTCTGAGACCTGAAAAATGACAGGGGAAGGTGATCTTGGGGAAAGCTGCATGAGTGGGAAGGAATGTTGAAAATAAAGGAAAAATCCGCAGAGAAAAAGCCCAGAAAGATTTTCAGGTTGAAAGAAGCAGAAACCCAGATAGCCAGGGTGACCAGAGGTCCCAGGTCACCTAGACAGTCCCTGTTCCTACCGACTGCTTTGATGTCCTGATTAACAGGGTCCCTTCCTCTCAACAAAGTCCTGGCTTAGAAGACAGTACCATCATGCTATAGGAAGAAAGCCAAGAACAAGCAGGACAGTAGTAAGGCATCAGGTAAGCCTCTGGAGGAGCTTCGTATCCTGTTAGAGGTTTCATGTCCATCTTAAGGATCTGAGTCGTTAAGGGATCCCCATCAGGACGGTTACAGAATCTGATCTGCCTTTTCCCGTAGATACAGCTGCATCGGCAGGGAGGTTTTGTTGAGTGAAGTTTAGCATTCACAAAGAACTTGGAGAACGAGGTGGTGTCTAAAACTGACAGAGCTGCTACCCAGATTTGTCAAGAATTTTTAGAAATCAGCAATGGAAAAAGTAGGGACTTCAATAGATGGAAGCTCTGCACAGACGCTTCCTGGAACAGAAAATGCAGACAGGTAAGAGGTGTGTGGAGAGGCGCCTGCCCCCAACAATAGCCCTCAGGAGGACGCAGATGAAACAAGGGGTGACCACCTCACACCCTTCACTCAAAGACAGGAAGGCCAAGGGTACCAGTCGCTGGGGAAGTCTTCATTCACACGTTCAAGACATACTTGCTGAGAGCCTTTCATGCGCCAAGCACTGCAATCAGCAGTGAGAACACAGTAATGAAAGAATAGGGACTTCCCTGGCGATCCAGCGCTTAAGCATGCGCCTTGCAATGCAGGGGACGTGGGTTGGGTCCGGGTTAGGGAGCTAGGATCCCGCATGCAATGGAGCAACTAAGGCCAGGCCCTTTGGAGCCCGCCTGCCACGAGCCCGGAAGCCCACACACCCTGCAGCCCGCACACCACAGCTGCTGGGTCCACACGCCGCACCCAGCGAGTCCCGAAGCCACGACGAAGATCCCGCGTGACACAGCGAAGACCAAGGCAGCCGAATACATGCATTAGAAAGAGCTGCTGCAGGAGTCAGGCAGGTAGCTGATCAGTCAGAGAGGGGAACTGGAGTTTCTAAGGTGGAGCCACACTGTGAGAACACGGGGCACAGCCATTGGCAGTGGGTAAGGATGGTCGTGATGAGGCCGTCATCCCAATAAACGACCAGCCTGGACTGGTTGGCCACATGCAGCTGGCACTGAACTTGCTCACCGTAACAGCAGGTCTATCCCCAGTATTAACACTGTGCAGAGTATATGCTATTATTACTACTATAAATCATCACGGCAGAGTCTGAAGATTTAGAAGAAATATATACAACTATGTTGAAGAGTCTCAGGATCTTAGGGAGCAAAACTGTCTTACAAAAGTGTCACTATCAGAGTGCCACCTTCAAATGATAGCTGATGTTCAAATGTGTGGTGTTTGAAAGGATAGAGAGAGAGTAGGGATATCAGACAAACCACTGATTAAATATGCCCTTAAGAGACAGACTCACAAATATAGAAAACGGGCTAGTGGGGGCCAAGGGGGGAGGGGTTGAGGGCGGCGTGGAGTGGGGGTTGGGGTTAACAGATGTAAGCTTTCATACGGAGAATGGACGGCAAGAAGGTCCTACTGTGTGATTCACGGCAGGAAATTACATTTACCGTCCCGTAATAAACCATCATGGAAAAGACTATTAGAAAAAACACTGTATACACGGATAACTGAGTCACTGTGCTATACGGCAGTAATTAGCACATCATTGTAGATCAGCGAGACTTCAGTTTGAACGTTTTTAACATTTTCCACCTCTACTGACTCGTGAGGCTTCTCTACGCTTAACTATCTGTTTGTTCAAGTGCTTTTTGATCAGAAATTTCAGAAAAGAAAATATGGGGGCGGGCCAGGGGGAAAAACGATTGGGAGGCCAGCCTCATTTAGAGAGTGGAAAGAAAGGAAAGGAGGAAAATGAAGACCGTCCTCGAGAGAAAAGATAGCCCGCACAGGTGAAGTATGGATCCATGGAGAAGTCTGGACAGCTAACATCTGCTAAAAATGATCAGCTTTCATTCTTTCCCATTCTAACCACTCTACTTTATTTCATACAAAGCAATCTAGTCTGATAAATTTTAAGACAGCTAACAAGGTCTTTATTCAAAGTGACTTCCTGTCATAACATAAGACACATAACACATAATACAATATAACACATATCACAGCATAACACCATCTGAGATATGTTTGACCAAATACCAGAAATTTTCCTGAATGCTTAAACTTAAAAAAAAAATTATTTATTTATTCATTTGGCTCCGCTGGGTCTTAGCTGCGGCACATGGGATCTTTGATCGCCATTGGGACATGTTCTTTTAGTTGCAGCATTTGAGATCTTTCCTGGCATCAGGGTCTTTTCCAGTAAGTCGGCTCTCTGCCTCAAACCTGGGCCCCTTAGTTTGGAAGGATGGAGTCTTAGCCACTGGGCCACCAGGGAAGTCCCTTAAGTGCTTAACCTTTGAATAGAGAAATTCAGAACACCCCGTTTTCTCCTGGAACTGTATCTTATGCGACCATTTATGAGACGCATAAATAGCTGCTCACGCTTCATCTGAGCCTCAGGGTGGCTTGCTCGTTCCAGCGTCCGCGGTTCCCACAGCCTGGCCTTGGAGGAAGCTGGAGACTTGGAACCCGCACCCTTGAATCATATTCCCTGAATCCATCTCAGCAGAGGGTTTAATACAAACCGAAGGAAGTGCATTCCAGGGGGAAAGTCTAGCCTCGGATGTC